CCTGTGCAGGCAGGAGCCAGGCTGTGCCCAGGACAACTCCACCTGTGCCACCCCCGGCCCGACAGCAGCCCCTGCTCTTCCCAGGGCTCTGAGCTCTCAGGGAGCTTTTGTTCCAAGTCATTTCTCTGCTTTCTGGGAAGCCATGAAAAGCATGTGTCAGCACAACTTGCTGCTGAGGAAGGCATTAGAAAGGATTTGAACTGACTCCCCATGGCAACAGACCCTGAAAGGGAATTAGCATTTGCTCCCCATTCCTCGAGAGGCCTAAATGGAATTTGTTTTTCTCCTCCCTAAGGAATTATTTCCAGAAGGGTGGTGTGCTTTTGTCACCCAGCAGGCACAGCTTCAGGAGACACCTGCCCTGCACACCCTGTTCAGTTAACACTCATCCCACCAGACATGGAAGGGGAAACTCTGGATGGGTGTCCATGAATGTTTTCCTTACACAGCTTTCCAGTGCTATCACAGCTTCCTGCTGCCTTTGCCAGCTCCCTGTACACCAATTCACTAATCCAAATCAGTTTGTGGCTTTGCTGCACAAAGCCTTTCAAACTCCAGATGTTGAGCTCAAGAGTCTTTCTACACTGGAGATTTTAATCTACAGAGAGACAACTCACTTCACCACATTGGCAGTGCTATTTTTTTAATGCATCAAAAACACATCTTCAGATTCTATTCTATTCTTTGAGAATCTTTTATATTTTCTCCAAATTCTTCTACAAACATGACGATGCACTTCAAAGTAGGCAGAGGAAGGCACAGCAAGCCCAGAACTATCAGCTCCAAGAGCCATCCACCCCAGTATCCCAAAGTCAGGGGAACTGATTAATCTCAGAGGCAGTTCATGAATTCCCAGATTCCCAGCTCATGTCTCGACTCTCCAGGTAAAATCTGGAAGGGGTGGGCCTGGAATCTAACTTTACCTCCCATGCTGGAGCTGACAAATTTCCATGGACTCCAAAGAACTACACTACTGCACAGGGTCAAGAAAACAATCCCCATTCACACCACTCAGTCTGGTGGTTCTGATGCTATGAAGGTGAACACTTGAGAGTGTCAGCACCAGGAGACTGCTGGTCTCCTAAGAACATTCTTTCTAGAAATTAAAATAAACGCTTTTCTCCCACAGACCATTGCACAGCTTTAAGAAGGACCTTTTCTTCCTCAACAGATTAGCAGGAACATATCCTGTAAAAAGCAGGGAGCACACAGCACACCAGATCACACCTCAGAGCATCCATGTCTCACCAGAAATACATATTTCACAACTTGGACAAGTCATTTTCAGACACACTGTTAATACACAAGACCCATTTCAGTAGCTGGAGCAGCTATTGCTGAACTATTGCTCCTGTTCTGACCTGGGAAAGCCTGGGTGCTGCTCTGCTGCAGCACAGAGTCATTCAAACAATAAGATGTGAAGATAAAAATTAGGTGCCTGGAAAGGACATGTGCCAACACAGCCAGCCATGCCCATGGATGATCTGCACCTTGTGTACTTGGCTTCTTATCAATGGGTAAGTGGTTCCCCAAGGAGTGGGCATTTCATACCACAGGACCCTCTGTGTTGGACACGAATTGTCACAGCTGGTAATTGCCAATATTCTTCCTTTTTTTTTTCACCTGTGGGTGGAACAAAGGCTGGGCAAAGAGTGCGAAACACGTTGATAAGAGGCTCAGCACTGCCTGATTTGAACCCATGTTGTTAAGACTCAATTCATCCCCTTCCCCACCTCAGGACACGCTTGGTCATGCTCAGCGTGCAGAGGTACCTGAACTCTGTGTCATTTCCAATAAATCCAGTCTGGAAGGGAGCATGGACTGCTTCACACCACGGCTTGTCTCCACCTGAAGTTTCTTGCAAGCAACCTTGAGTTACTTCAGGTTGGAGAGACTCACGTGGACACGCCTTGCCAAGAGCTGGAACGCGCACGGCCAAGCACCCTCGGAGCGCTTTGGCATCGTTCAGGGGCTGACTGAGCCTCCCCAGCCGCCTGTCCCTGGCTTTTTCCAGCTCTGCAACAGGTGTCTGCTCCCAGACAGCAGCTCTGGCCAGCTCTCCTCTTCCACTGCCCCTGTGGGAATCTTAGCAAGTGCCCATCTGCAGTGCAGGCGTTTCCTCACCTTGTGGATCCCCCAACCTGCCTTTCCGTCTCTCAAATCCGTGCTCCACATCACCCTCAGCCACCCAGGTACAACTAGATAGTCCTGTAATGCCAGATGAGCAGCAAAAGGCCCCCTAAGTCAGGAGAGCAGAGGGCAAGCTTGGATCTCTGGAGTAACAATAGTGCCCTCAGTGTCCATGGAGACTGGAGCAAGAAAGCCACTTTTGCTACAGACAACAGCTCCAGCTTCCTAAAATAAACAAGAAAGGAGGAAAACAAACCAAAACGAGTACACAAGGACACACACCTCCCTCCTGGCCATTAGATAAGGCCACACTAACACCAGCCAACCTCAGCAGGAGTCCAGAGGAAGCACCTTCTGCCTGTGCACTGGGAAGCAAAGCCACATTTATCCCTGGCACAGTGCAGGCCCAGAGGTTCAAACCAATTAATCCCCCGCCCAGGGGAACCACGCTTTGTTGGTCAGTGATTTAACACCCTCCCAGAACACGCTCCACACCCGACTGCCAAGAGGGAAACACTGTAATAACTGTGTTTCTACAGCACCTTCACTTCAACACAGTCAAGCACATTTGAAGCACTAATAAAAGGAGTTTCTGCAAGACCCTACAAGGCAATCATGCATGGCAGTGTTACTGCACTGAAGACACATGCAGAAAACTGCCCTACTGAAGATAACACAGCAGGTCACTGTCAGACCTGGAAACAGACCTCTGCTTTCCCACTTGGGAGTGTTTCTGATATTTTTTTAACATTCAGACTTCTTTAAACTTATTAAAAAGCCCAGAGCAAACAAACGAAACAAATCTCCACCACCCCCCCATGTGGCTGGGGTCCCGGCTTTGCCATCTAGGTTATCAGTTTAACTTGAACTGGATCCTCGGTGACACCTTAAAAAAACCCACCTTATTCAGATTTCATTAAAGGAAAACTGTTCCATTTATAAAAAGATTCCTTTGTAAAGCCAACAGAACACAGTTTCAGCATGGAAGGCTTTCCCATAAATAAAGGGAAGCTAAGTATCGAACAGGGGACTGATTTTCATCCTGTGTTTTGATGCTCATAAAAGTGTTTTACTGCCAGGGTATTTCTTGACAGTGTTTTAAATTACAGACCAGCTCATGCAAAACCAGGAGCCGTTAGTAGCGGGGTGGCCTCTCCTCTGCTTTTATGGAGCGAAAATTTTATTCTCCCTCACAAACGCCGGTGATTTTGATCAAAGTCCTGGCGGGACACCCGCCTCGGCGGCTGAAAGGACAGCAGCATTAAATCAATTCCCTAGGCAACCTCCCAGCCTGGGCTGGAATTGTTAAAATAATGAGTTGTGCACCACTTGATCCCAACCCACCAGCTGATCCCCGTTTTACAGACAATAGGTGGCACAGAACCGGAGAGCGCCTGCGACCGCTCAGATGGTTTCTCACAAATCGTGCATCTTCGGCTGAAAAAACTTCACTTTTTTTATGTAACAGCCTACTGGCATTTTTAAGTCTAGAAAAAGCATCCTTCAGAGTTAAAAACAAATTAAAAAAAGAAATGTTCTCAATCTTATTCCACAGAGCTGCTGTTTGAAGAACCGGGAAGGTTTTTAACAGCGAGCATTGCACTCTGCTGCCTCTCACCTCCCAAAAACTCTATTTTCTTTCCCTATCCCACATTATCTTTAACTCAGGTGTTTCATTGCAGGGTTGAATCCTGCCTCTGTTTTCAGTATCGTTACCTGCAGTTGTTCTTTCCCATTTCAGAACAAACACCTTAAGTTTTCTTTAGTTTCCTTTAAGTTTTGCAACATACAGGCCAGAAGTCCCAAGGACAAGCAAATCAGAAGAGCCCCCTGGAAACAGGCAAACATTGTGCTTTATAACTCAGGAGTTAAGGCACACTTTAAACAAAGAGCCTATGACTGGTCCATCAGATAAGGCTTATATCTTTCTGGCCGGAATTTAATAACACTTCTTCTAAAAACACTTTTCGGTCAGCTGGAGTTGAAGTTCCCAGAATTACAGAGTTGCTTAATTACAACAAAACGTGCATGGAGTTTAATTCCTAGCTCACTGTACTTTCTGTATTTAAAAAAAAAATGGTTTATGGAGTAGGTTATTAGCCCCCCAAAAAGGTATTTTTAGGAAAAACTCAATTCAGCGAGAGGTTTGACTCCTCTCAACTCTCACCTACTCCAGAACCTTTCAGGTGGGGACCAAGCATGTTCCCAAAGCAGTTCTATAGCACTGCTGGCTGATGTCCTCTGCTCCTCGGGGGAGGCTCCTGCTCCTCAGGATTGTAGGCTAAGCCTCATTTAACACGGTCTGGCCCCGGTCAGGGCGAACCGAGCGGCTGCAGCTGGCTCTGGTTTCAGCTCATCACCGGCCCAGGTGTGCTCTGGCACAGCCCGGGGGCACAACCGCCCACGGCACGTGGCAAACGCCGGGCTGGCCCAGGGGAGGGGGCACAGAGCCCAGGGAGCGGCCGGGAGTTCATCCCGCCCGATCCGCGATGGATCCAACGGAACGAACACGGCCACGCGCGGGCCGGGACAGCGACGGCGGGCGGCCCCGGGCGCACCTCGGAGAGAGCCCCGGGCCGGCTCCTGGAGGGGCGAGAGGACCGGGGCACGCGCGGCCGCCCGGGCCGGAACGGCGAGTTACGAATAAATAAATAAATGAAAAGTTGCACCTTGCAAACCCTCACCTCAACTTGCGGCCGCAAACACCGGGAAAAACCAGCACGAAAAGCAAGGGAAAGCCCAGCGGAGGCTCGCGGGGCACAGCCCCGTCCCGCCGCGGGAGCCCCCCGGGGCCGCACCGACGGACGGGACTCGGGGGGTTCGCAGGGGCTTCAGAGGGGCTCGGGGGGTCCCGCCCCGCGCTCACTCACCGCGGGCCGCCGGGCTGCGCTGGGTCCGGTCCCCGCCGCCGCCACCGCCACAACCCGTCCCGGTCCGAGCACAACCTGCTCCGCCGTTCAAACCCCCGGCGCTGCCGCCGCCCTGCCCGCCCTGCCCGGCCCGGCCCGCCCCCGGGCCCGGAGCGCCGCGAAACCCGGCGCGGGGCCGCGCCCGGAGCGGAGCGGCCGAGATCGGCCCTGCCGCGGGCGGAGCGGCCGGAGCCGCGATCCACCCCCGGTGTTACCGCGGCCCCGCGCCCTCTCCCATTCAACCTGTTCCATTGTGTGTCCGCGCCGAGCCGCGGGGCCGAGCCGCGGGGCCGAACCCCTCAGTGCCGGACCCCCTCAGTGCCGCCGCCCCCTCAGCCCTGCCGCCCCCTCAGCTCCCTCAGCCCCGCTGCCCCCTCAGCCCCGCCCGGTCCGAACCCCCGCCCGTCCCGGCGGAGTCTCCTCCCGGCGGGACTCACCGAGCTCCCGGGTGCAGCCGTGCGGAGCGGTCCCGGAGGGAACCGAAGGAGCTGAGGGAAAACCGCGGGAGCGCCGCGGCCCCTCGGGGCGGCCCCTCGCGCGCCGGCGGCGGGTGCCATGGAGACCCCGGGCCGTCCCGTCCCACCCCTGCCATGGGCAGGGACACCTCCCACCAGCCCAGGTGGCTCCAAGCCCCGTCCAACTGGCCTTGGGCGCTTCCAGGGATGGGGCAGCCACAGCTTCTCTGGGCAACCTGTGCCAGGGCCTCCCCACCCTCATTGTAAGAAAAATCTCCCCTGAATCTGATCTAAACCGACCCTCCTGCAGTTCAAACCATTCTCCCCTGTCCTATCACACCAGCCGGGCTGTGTTTGTTCCTGAAGGACGCAAACAGCCCCTCACTGCCGGGTGGGCTCCGGGGAAGGCCGGTGCTGTTTATGGCCATTTGCCTGACATCCCACACCGGCAATAAACAGCCCGTGCAGCGCCGAGGCTATTTTCCTTGGGCCATTTGGAGGCCAGGCCTGTCCTTTCTCTCCCTGGGATCTTTTGAAGATGTGTCGCTCATAGTTGCGGGGGCAAAGCACAAGAGCTGAACAGTTTAATTCCTGTCCTTATTCCTAATCACAGAACTGCATCCCCTGATGGAAATACTCTGCTGGGCATCGCAGCGGGTGAAGGAAGGGAAGGAGCTCCTCAGAGGCAGTGTGGGGGGCTTATGTAATGGAGAAAGTGCTGCTTCTCCCCCAGGCTCAGCCCGGCTCTGCAGGGCTGTTGGTCTGCTCCTGTTACTGCTTTCCCAATAGCCAGGCCTCCCACAGAGACAGGATCTGCAACCCCTCAGCCCTGCACAGATGGAAAGCACAGCTTTGAACTGAATTGGGCCTTTTCCGAGGGGGGAGGGTGTGCCGGTGGTTTTATTCGTTAACAGATAAGCCCTGGATGATAAGGAAAACAGCATTAACAAACAATTACAGGGGCTGACCCTCATGAAATCATTTGTCACTGCAATCCCAAATCCAAATGTGAGGGAACAACAGCTTGGTTCACATTCGCCCACACCTCACCTCTGCTTGCTAGAAATGCAGCATGTGGTTTCCTGCGATTTTTCTCTCAGCTTTACGGTGGATTTTAGTGATAAATCCTCCTGTGACTCATCTACAGAACAGAAGTGCAAAGTCCAGAATTATATTTAATTATTATAGAAAATAAATCATAACTGTACGATCATGCCCAGCTTGGAAAAGCTCCACTTCCCAGACGTAGGAAGAGGAACACCCATAACCCCCCCCCCCGAGAAATGGATTATTGTTGAGCCTCAATTTGTAGTTCGGGGTTAAAACTCAGCTTTGGGGTTTGCTTCAGGGGATGCCACGTGCGATCCCAAATCCCTGACTGTCTGGATGGCTTTCACGGCCAAGTGCCACGGCAGGGGTTGGCCCAGCCCTCCGCTGTACAATGCATAAAAACTCGTGTCATTTTTTACTTTGAAAGGGGCACAGCCCCCTGGTTTCCAGCCTCCCCTCTCCCCCACGCTGGTTTCCAACGCGCTGCAGGTACTTCATGGCTCGCTGCTCAGCAGCCTCACCCCCGGGAGGACCCGGAACAAAAGCACTAAAGAAGCACCGACATCTATTCTTATTTTAGAATCTCAGGAGTCACAATTTTGCCCCTGAAATCAGCAGAGAAGATGCTGACACAGCAACTAATTGTCAGACAAGCAGTGCTCGGCTATTAAGGTTTTTTTTCACCACACTCTTCTCTCCAGTATTTCACTGGAAAGGAATCACACAGAAAGAAGGAAAATCTGTAAAGCACTTCACTTTAAATAAATATTGGGACTGTGGGAGGTTAAACAAAGGTCAAGTGCTTGGTATATAAAACATGTAACAATGAACTTAAGAAATTCAATCTTTATTTTGAGAATATTTACAACATAAATAGTAGTACACTCATATACTTAACATGTATGCCAAAAATAAAAAAAAGAGTTTAAGTTCTTATCACCTTCTAGTCCTCCTTCTCAAATTTCTTGTTAAAGTTTTATATTCATCTAATTTTCGACATTTATAGAACCATCAGAAAAAAAAAACATAGGTTTTTCTTCTTCAAGGGAAAGTTGATTCTAAAAATCTGGATTCCTGACATTAATTTACATTCTTTGATATACCAAGTGATTTTTTTTCCCCAAGGAACTTTATTTGTTACAACTTTAACAGCCATAACAGATTACCATTTATAGCAGTAACAGTGCAACCCATTATTCAAGATGAACGTTTTCTAAAACAAAAATTACACACCAAAAACAGTGTAAGAAAAGAATTCAAACAAAAAGCTCACGTGTAAACACTTCCCATGAGCTTTGTAAAGGCCTGAAGTGGAGTTTCTAACCCGTGTGAGCTGTGCAGCAAGGACACATCAGGGAGGTGTGAACAGGCACTGCACCTCCCAAACCTGCTCCGTGTGCTGCCTTCCCTGCTGGGAACACAGGTCGTAGGGATTTAGAAGGTGGAAAACTGGAAAACTAATTTAGGACATTATTGTGGAAGAGTTTGGCACCAGAACCTTTTCACTGGTGGCCTGCACACTGCTCCTGAATTTCACTCCCATCTGGGTTATGATATGGGATATATTCTACATAACCCATTCACTGTGGGGCTTCTGTTCGAGACAGGGACCCTGAACATCACGGCACTGTTTGTGATCACAAACATCCCCTGGACACAAATCACACAACTCAGGGGGCTCATCTTCCTCCACCTTTTTACCTCTCAGTGGAGCCCCTAAACCACCTCACAAACTGTTTCAGCCTCTGCACAAATTTATTGCTGCTGATGTGATCTTGGATCCTTTCAGCTTTCTTTTCCTCTTTCCAAATGCCTTTATTTTTCTTCAAGGCCTTCAGCTCTGCCCGAAGGAGCCTCTTGTGGAGTTTCCAGTACAGGCGGGACTCGTGGGGCAGCCCCTCAATCCGGGCTGCTCTGCCCAGCCCTTGGCTCAGGAGCTCTTCGTTCAAGCACATGCTGAGAAATCGACCCTATAAAAGGCACAATAAAGATGACAGTCACTGTTAAAACAGGTTTATTTGGGGGTTTGTGTGAACACCCCCAGAGGTACAAGCTTTAATTGTGGCTAAATCTATGCTCTGGTAGAAGTAGCTCAAAGTGAAGAGGAATCCAGCTGACTTAAAACCCAGCTCTAATGTGAGGCCCTGGCACAGGTTGCCCAGAGAAGCTGTGGCTGCCCCAGCCCTGGAAGTGTCCAAGGCCAGGTTGGATGGGGCTTGGAGCAACCTGGGACAGTGGGAGGTGTCCCTGTCAGCATCTGACAGAGACACACACTCCTGTCATGAGTCAGTCTGCAAAAATACTGGTCTTGAAGTCAGATTTGCAAATACAACATTTAGAATTCACATCCAAAGAGATAAATCATAAATAGTAACATTCCTTAAATGAACGGAGATAACGGAATTGCACGACTACAATCAAACTCAAAACCGCAGATAAAAGCCACTTTTGGAGGCTCTGTTTACCTTACTCACTAAAACAAGGCAGTCCAGGGCCGAGCCCTCCCTTCCCAGGAGCTGGAACCACATGTGCTGTTGGGGGCTGAGCTCTCTCTGCAGCCAGGCCGTGCCACTGGGAGCCACCTCCACACCCGCCAGCCGGATCAGCAGGAGCCCCTCAGACTGCCCTGGGAACAGAGAGGGACAAGGTTGGTGCTGCAGGGAACCTCATGCTTTGCACAGACCCTCGGCTCTTGGTAATGAATTTATTCCCGTGGACTTGAAAGAATCCCTTTAAGTTCCCCAAAGGACTTATCTGCAAACAGGAATTTGGTCTCATCTCTCCTTCAGTAAAAAAAAAATAAATAAAATTCAAGTTTGCACAAGTGGTTTGAGCTGGTTTGGGTTATTCTGCATACAGAGAGAAAGACCTGCTCCCACTATCAGTCACTGTCACTTATCCAAAGGGGCAGAGGCATTAACACCTGCTGGTGTTTGCACACACACCTGAGTGTGTGACTCATGGAACTGAGGGACAGTTTCTTTCTGACAAAAAAAATGTCCCCCAAAACGGGTGTCTGCAAAGAAAAGCACAAACCCAACAAAATCTTTTTGCCAGGAGTGAGATGAGCTGTGCAAGTAGAAGCACTGCCTGTGTGCTCACTTCTGCTGTTGGGAAATATCACAGTAACAAATAACACAAACACTGTATTGACAGACTCTCTGTATGGGTCTCCTCCTGTCTTTTATTCCCCAGTTTCCCATCTGGAAAGCACAGATAGACCAAAAGGTAGAGCAGGAAATGTTTCAGCCCTTCCTCCCAACCTCGCAGGCACTCTGAGAGCAGCACATTTCATCCCTCCCCTTGTTCTTCACATTCCTTATTACTTACACTTTCTCTGGATGGCTGTGATGAAAGGAATGCTGATGGGAATGTGCTCAACTTCCAGGCCCTGCTCGGTGACATGATGTAATTTCCCTCTCAATTTCACATTCTTTTCTACAAACTCCACAGGTATATCCAAAGCACTTGTAAACTTCGTTGTCTATTGATGGAAGGAAGAGCAAGACAAAGTTTTATGAAAAAAGGTAGAGTGATTACAGTCACATTAGATCCAACTTCTTAAAATAGTTTGGGAAACTACAGATCTATTATTAGAGAGCATGGACAAGTAAATATAGATATTTACTTAATAGTGATCAGCTGCAGAGGCTGTGCCAGCCTTTCCCTGGCTTACAGGACCTGCAGCATCGGGGTGGACATAAAAGCCAGGTTTAGAGAGAGAACAGAAACTGCCATTTTCTGAGCAATGCCTGTTGAAGTTCACTGGATGCACCGTAAAAAGAGTGTTTTAGGAGGGGCCTGAATGGTGCTGGGACGAGGTGAAAGGAAGCCAAAGGACAGACTGGCTGAATACAAAGGCAGAGCACGGAGGGCAGAGACAGCCCCGCCTTCCCTAAGGGAGGAAACTCGGAGAGGGACAAAGGCAGGTGAACAGCTTTGGGAAGATCACAAGGAGATTAAATTTGATACCACAGCACGGGAGGATCCCGAGGGGGTGTTACGTGATCACACAGGGAAACCAAGCTGAGCAGCAGCAAAGACTTGGGCTGTGGCACAGGAATGGAGTGAACAGTGGTTTGGGATGGAGGGAGAAGGACAGGTGAGACCCCCAGAGAAGACACTGAGGTCTCACTGTCAGAGGCCTTTGCAGAGCACTGACCTAATTCTACTGAGCTGTGAAACCCACTGACCTGCTGAGGTACAACTGCTGGGAACCAAACCCCCAAACACCAGGCTTAAGGCAAAAGACCTGTCTCTGTGTGTTATTTATTCAGCAATGCCCCTCTGTGGTCCCTAAGGCCTCCCACCAGGAACACGAGAATTCGGGACCTTCAGGCAGGAAGCCTGGAGGGTTTTTAGGAACAGAAGCTGTCCAAAGCTGATCTCATCTGTTCTGGAAGTTCCACTACACAGATTAACACCTTCACAGGCCCTTGGGTCAAAACCAACCAACCAAAAACCGGAAAAATATAATTCTGGCAACATTTGTAGTTCATGTTTTCTGGTAGGATTTTAAAGCAGAAACTCTGCACAAAAGTTCTCTTGTAGCCTTTGGAACTGTGCAGAGGGAAGAGGAGGGTATCTGTTATTTTTAAGCAGCTGGAACCCTGGGGGAGTGCGGTCACTCCCTGCCCATGGAGTCTCAGCTTCTCCACGCACCGGTGGTGTGGTGTCAGTGCAGCGTGACCTGACCACTCCAGGGAGCAGAGGAAGATTTGCGTGGCGTTTAAGAGCATTCAAAGGCAGTTCTGTGTGTGGAAGGACGGTGAGAATAGGCCAGGAAAGTACTGTGTTTGGACAAGTGAGGGTGCTCGAGCTGCACTGAGGGAGAGGGGAAGGGCCTTTACCCACCCCAGGGGCTTCGGGAACAGGCTCTGGGTGGGAGCACAAGGGGGGGACGAGGGGGCAGCTCGGTGGGGCTGTGGAGGTGCTGCACGACAGTGACACCGAGCCCCTCCAGGTTGGAGCCCCCCAAGATCTGAATCAAACTTTGCCATTGCTTTTTCCAGCTGTTACTCAGCAGCTGTGGCTGGACCGTTATGTATCGGCAATTGCATCGTGAGCGTTCTGTGCTCGGCTAACCCTCTGTTTTAGGGAGAAGACAATCCCGAGAGGAATGGGCTGCCTGGAAAGGTAATTCCAGCACGGGGGGGGTCGCGACCACCGAGCACCGACCCTTGCTCAGAACAGACCCAAATGAGGGCACAGCTGTGCCCGCGGACCGAGCAGCACGGGAAGGGAGAGACAACCAACAATCAGCGGCTTGAGCGCTCACGAACGGGAAAGGGATGTCACTGTAACCAAGGGATGCCGCTAAACGTACAAACGGTGCAAAGCCTCGAAGATGGCGGAGCGGGGACCCCCACCCGGCTCCTGCTGCCGTGGAATGGAATAAAACGCAGCAATCCCTCAGCTCGGTGCGGGAATCGGCGCTTCCACCGGGAGCGGGCGGGACAGCCACGGGAACGCGCCTGGGCCCGGCCCGGCCCAGTGGGGTCCCTCCGGCCGGGTCCCCACCCCCGGGTCCCCACCCCCGGGTCCTCATCCCAGGGTCCTGCAGCAGGGTCCCCACCACAGGCCCCCGCCCGGCCCCCCAGCCCCGCACTCACCAGGCGGACGCTCCGCGCCAGCAGCAGCACCCCGGCCACGGCCGCGCCGGCGCTCAGGCCCTGCGGGCAGAGAGAGGGGGTCAGGGGCGCCGGGGGGCTCGGGCGGCTCGGCGGGACCCCCCGGCCGCCCCCGTTACCCGCAGCAGCCCCAGGTGCGCGTCCGCCCACTCGGAGAGCCGGGCCAGGCCCTGCCCCAGCCGGCCGGGGCCGCTCGGCTGCTCCGCCATGGCCGCGGCCCGGGCGGGACCGGGGAGGGACCGGGGCGGGACCGGGAAAACATCAGCCAGAGCCCCCCCTGGCGCGGGCACCGCCACCTCCCACAGGGCGGGCTGCTCCTTCCATCCGCCCGGCCTTGGGCACTCCCAGGGATCCAGGGGCAGCCACAGCTTCTCTGGGCAACCTGGGCCAGGAATTCCTTCCCAATATCCCATCTAGCCCTGCCCTCTGGCAGTGGGAAGCCATTCCCTGTGTCCTGTCCCTCCATCCCTTGTCCCCAGTCCCTCTCCAGCTCTCCTGGAGCCCCTTTAGGCTCTGGAAGGGGCTCTCAGGTCTCCCTGGAGCCTTCTCTTCACCCGCTGTGAACTCTCCAAACCTGTGACACACTTCCTCTGGCCCTGCCAGATGCTCGTTTCTCCTTGTCTTTTTAAGGCTTGGGTTTGTGTTTTATTTTTATTTTATTTTAATCTTAAAGGTGTTTAAGTCCTCAGTAATTGTAATGTGTTTTTTTAAAAAGTCACTTCAAAAGAGGGTTGGCAGAAAAAAGCAACAATATTAAAATTTTACTGCTTCCCTTCAGCAACCTGCTAATGGGCTGGTACAGCACTAACATTTCTGACCTACAAAATAGCTACTTAGATTAAAAGCACTAATCCATCACTTGTTTCAGCACTTTGGAAGAATAAACAGTTACTTAATTTAGGTCACATTTCATACATATTCTGACCAATTTAGAGTGTATGTGTAACTTTGACATTGTTGAGATCATCTAATAACTGATAAGCAATCCTCAACCCATCTTTATTAGTAACAAGTTTCAGTGGCACCTTCCGAAAAAGTGAAAAAAAATCACAAAGTAAAAGCCAACCCCAAAAAAACCTGGGAATTTAATTTCCCATCTTTTGCACTTGAGATGGTTTTCCTTGAGGTCAGAAAAGTTAAAAATCTCTAGGTATGGACAAGCTGTGATTAAATCAGTGGTCTATGGTTCCAGTGGGGACACAGAACTGAAGTGCCTCACACGTGGTCAGTGCACTGGAGGTGAGGGGGCTGGGACTGAAAGGTGCAGCCATAAAACTCTGATGTATTTTTATGTTGTCTTTGTGCTTATGCAGAGGAAGATTTTTAGCTTGGAGAATAAAAACCATCTGATTTCATTCAGCTTGACTGATTGCGCTGTACTTGAAACAAACTGTGAGAAGTTGTCACTCAGGAGAGGGGAAGGGACAGGAGTCAGTGCCAAAGAAACACGTGCGCAGTCCTCTTCCAGATCCTCCTTGCTCCTGATGCCATGGAGAGAGACCCTTCCAGACCCCTCCTTGCTCCTGATGCCATGGAGAGAGACCCTTCCAGACCCCTCCTTGCTCCTGATGCCATGGAGACCCTTTGTACACACCCACCCGTCCCCTCCAGTCACTCCAAAGCTGGAGTTGATTTATGTCCCCCCCAAACACGCAGAAGATCCCCAACCTCCTCCAAGCCCAACACTTCAAATACTGACAAGGCAAGAAACACAGAGAGAGAGACTTGTGCCCTTCCATGGGCTGTTTAATAGCGATGCACCATTTACACCCACCGAGGTCCCAGTGCCCTCTCAGCGCGGGCTGTGGGTCACTAAGGCACTCAGGAGGGAGGGCAGGGGGGATAATGCACCGGGAATGTTTCCACATGGCATCAGCAGCTCCTGCTGCAGCAGCTCCACCACAGGACTGTGCTCCTTGGATTTATGTGAGGGCGAGACGTGTACCTGCTCTCTGGGAATCTGGCAACTTTGTCATCACCAATTCGCTTTTCTTACCCCCAGCTGGGAGCAGTCACAGTTTTCCCATTGATTTTGAGAAGGAATGCTCAAATTTGAGTGACACTGGGGAAACCCCACACTATCAGTTCATTCCCTCAAACTCACCCTGCTCCGAAGGCCCTCCCCTGGGAAGCCCAGCTGCTGCACCTTCCAGTTACAGCTGCAGGAGCCAGGCTCAGAGGATTGTGCGTTACTCCAGTCCTACCTTACAGCATTTTGTCCTCAAGAAAGTACCTTGAATGTAAATCAAAATGCTTTGAAACAGCGGAAATAAATTAAACAAATGTAATTTGTTTATAAAAATATTTTCTTATAAATCTTTAAAGCTTATAAAAGCCAGAAAATACATTTAAAAGAATCTCTGGAACGTTTCATCCTTTGAGGCGTGGCCACAGTTCAGAAAGTGAGAAGCAAAGCCCACAGACACCTCACACTGATCTTCCCACAAGGAATTCCATAGTACAACACTTAACCTGTACGTGAGAATGCCTTTGGCATCCCTCCCTGGGCCAGCTGCCCTGTCAGGTCACTTCTGTGTGACAGTAAAGCTGGGACTCAGCTGGCAATGCTGCCCCTCGACAGCCACGGCACCAGGATGGGATCAGCGGTGGTTGTGCCAGCAGCCGTGGCTCTGGAGCTCAGGGAAATGCAGGATACTCAGGGAGGACAGAGGTTGGAACCTTTACTCTCTGAACTGACACTGGGAGGGCAGTGGTGTCACACACACAGCCACCGCCTCGGCCACACGGTCTCACTGCTGTGGCACCAAATACCGATGTTCCTGGGGGTGGGTTATGGGATATGTCTGTGTAATAGAACTAAAACAACCTTGCTGGTCCATCCAACATTTAAGTGCATCAATTGCTCCTCTTGCACTTCCAGGAAGACTGTCCTTCATCCTGCAGCTTTTTAAACTTTGGTCCAAGGAGGAACCACCAGCCAAAGCCCAGGATGAGGCAGACGACGGACTCCACGTAGTAACCGTCCAGGGTGGTCACGCAGGAGCCACCAGCCTCTGTGCAGAGCTGAAACAGGAGCACAACCTGATGCATTAAGTACCTCTGGGAGACACAAACACAGACTTCAGAAAGATTAGAGAGCCACTGGTGTCTACTTGCTCTTGCTTCTGACTAAGTATAGTTGTTGACTCTTCCTTGTCTCTTACAGAGGCAGTCAGAGAGGTTTTGGAGCTTAGCAGCAGCATGAAAAGTAACAAATCTGTTCTAACATAATTTGGGAAATGGAGCACACTGGCCCATGGGGCAAACTCCAGGAAACAGAAACTGCCCCACTGGCTGGGAAGTGCAACCACTCATCCCAATCTCGTGGAGAAAGAGGATGATTTTTTTTTTTAAACAGCCATCCATGTTATGGTCTCCCCGTCCCTGGAAGTGTCCGAGGCCAGGCTTGGCCTGCAGCAACCTGGTCTAGTGGAAGGTGTCCCTGCCCATGGCAGGGGGTGGAACTGGATGAGATTTAAAGTCCCTTCCAACCCAAACCACTCTGGGGTTCTCTGTCTGGGAGAAACACACCCAGGATGGTTTTTAACCCTCAGCATTTAAAGGGTGAGTGTACAGCACAGGACTGTTTCTGCTATTGTTTGGCTTTCAACACTGCTCTAATCCCAGGATAAATCAATCCCCTGAGCTGAGGCTCTGCCAGCACTTTCTGAGACATGTCAAAAACAGATTAGGAATAAGAAGGGAGTGGTGGTGGTGGTGGAATGTTACCAACTGGGAGGATGAGAGAAAAGATCAGAGGAGTGAGGTGAAGGAGGAAGGACTCAAGTTCAGTAGAGGCCCAGGGAACCTAATTAGTGACAAGCTAATGAGGGAGGCTGAAAAAGCACCCGCTGTGGAAGCAGTTTCCCCTCTGCAAGCAGTAAAAACTGCAAGTCCAGCTCAGACAAGTCATGTTGGATTCCCAGAACACTTTGTTTAGAGAACCTCCACATCCCAAAGAGTCCTGGCATTCAGGAGTGAAATAAATCTCACTCAGGAGCACTCAAAAAACCCCCCAAACACTTCCACTCTTCAGCCACATTAAGTGTCTCATTTGCCACGAGGAGGTGAATTTGAAACCTTGCTTTCCCAGCAGTTTTGTGTCCTGTTGTTTGATCTGTGTACAGTGCACAGCAAGTTCTTTGTTCTCTTCCAGAGGGCTCCCAGACTGGGAAGGCAGCCAGTCCCACTGCTCCGTTTCAGGGGGAAAGTGAACACCAAAGTCAGGGAGCAGAGCAACATCATGGAGAAGGGATCAAGGCAGGCAGAGGGGAAACCTCCAGGAAGACAGGAGGAAGAAAAACCTACCACAGGAATGGAGAGACTTGGAGGACAGACAGCCCTGCCCAGGACAGAGCCTCTAATTACACAACTCATAAACACACCTACAGCCTCCTTACACCAGAGCACATGGCACCAATCTGGTGCTTCTACCACAGCTTTTCATCCCAGCCCAGAAAGGGACAACTACCCTGCAACTGCAAATCCCTGGTAAGATGCTGGTTAGTCAGAGTGGACAGACAAAAGCAGACAATTTTGTCAGATGGGAAAATCAGCTCCACCAGTGGGAATTTTTAAGCGTGAGCTGTGCACTGTGAAGGTTGTCAGAGGCAAAAAACCACCCTAAGAAGCAATTTAATTGTGACACTATTGAGCAGGGCCCTCCAGAGCCCCCAGACTCACCTCTGCAGCCGCCGCAGTGCCACAGGAGTGGCCCTGGGCCCCGGCACACTCCTTCACCGTGAGGGGATCCACCAGCCAGAGGGCCACGGTGGAGGGCCAGTTGCCCCCCAGGTTGGACACCGTGTTGAGCAGGGTCATGTAGGTGCCCCCGATGAGCGGGTCGCTCACCTTGGCGTTGAAGGCCATGATTGCCACGTACATGCTGTACAGGGTGATCTGGGGGGACAGACACACACACAGGGGTCTCCACGGGCACCACAGCTCAAACCCCCAACGTGAACACTGTCCTGAAGGTAGCAACATTCACTGAAAAACAATCCCAACAGCTTAAAATTGCCCCAGGGAGCAACTCCTCCTGCAGCCTGTCCCTCTGCTGACACGAGGAGTGGCCTTGCCACTTGCCTCAAGTCGTGCTGCGTGACCTGAGTCATGGCCCACGTGCACTGGCACGACTCAAGTTATCAAACTAAAACACAACAGCTAAAATAGCATCCAAACCCAACACTGTCGTATTTAAAATCAACCCTCACAGCATCATACAATCAGTTCTGATCCAAAGCCAGGTTTTCCAGGCCTCTGGATCAGATCCATTGTGATGTTCCTCCAACAAGCTAGCATTTTTTCTAGGAGCAGGATCACATAACTCAATGGATCTGCAGAACCAGCACAGTCATCACTGTGCCTGTCAAACTCTGCCAGAGTGCTGGGATTTCTCCAGCTCCACTGTGCTTTTGAGCTTCTGGCTCTGGGGAAAAAATAACCTGGGAAACAAAGTCAGATCTACACAACCCAAAGTAGCTCCACAGATGCTGTCCAATGGAGCACAAGGGAACGGGGAGAACTACCACTGGTGAAAGTATCAGAAGGCAATACAGCCACACAGATCAGGCTTGGAGGGCTTCCAGTGAGAGCCAGGACAAGGCAGGTGACAGCAGTCACAGTCCTCGAGGTGACGGGTGTGACACACCCTCCTGCCTCCCCTTCCACAGGGTGTTACCTGATGCAGAGCGTAACTCAGCACCACCACAGCGTAGTAGTACACGGGAAATCCTCCCTCGTGCTTCACTTTAGGAGCCCACCACACCAGGAAAGCAAACTCCAGGCCAAGCAGCAACCTGGAGGGGTAGGAAAGAATTAGCAATTCAAATAATTCTTCCCACGTGTTTCCTCAACACGAAGCAACTAATGAACTTTAACAGAGAGTACATTGAAATAGTTTAGATCTAAACAATTACAACTATTTCTATCTCAGAATTAGATATTAAATATTTGACAAGCAGTGAAATTGTTAAATAAGAGCAGGAGAGCATTGCTCTAATGGTGCTGTACACGCATCTTTAAAACACCTCATGCTCTTCTCTCTCACAGGTGATACTGCATGAATTATCTTCCAGGCACAGGACAGAATTCAGCTCCCTGTGAGAATCCTGACACACTTTCTTGTAGCTGGAAGTTAGAGAGTTACACAAGAAACCCTACACTTGATCTAAATACACAAACCGAACACACAAATTACTGTGTTTCTATAAAATGAGGTTTTACCTGAAAGGCATCGCTTTGTAGAAGGTGTTCAGGGGCTGGGGGCCTGCTGTGTATTTGCTGATGACCAGGGGCAAGATGATCTGTAAAGGAACCATTGGAACTGCCAGCAGAGCCAGGTGCTCTTTGGGGACCCCCTCCTCCACCAGTTTGAGTCCTGTTACAGCATCTGCTGCTGAAAATCCAACCTGCGAGAGAAATGAGACAAAACAGGCTGAGGAGAGCAGGGGGAGCTTGGCTAGAAATTCAGTTTACTATTAAGTAACTTGAGAAATGGGATAGAGGACAAGTCACTTCTGCCACTGATTTGACTTCCAAATTAGTTCTACATGTTCTACACTTACACACTCTTATTGTCATCAGTGCCAAAAGCTTCCCCAGAACATTAAGTAGCACTGCCATTCCTGCCTGTGCCTTCACTGCTGTTGGCACCCACAATGTCCAACAGGAAGCCATGGAAACCCAGCCTGGACACAGCAGCAGATTCTGAGAATAGTATCTGAGTTAAGAGAAACATTTTCTGCCCTTTTAACTGCAGGCTACACAGTCTGTTTGAAAATGTTTTAAAATGTTTAAAAAACAAATTACTGTTATACCAGACTGCAATCAAGCTCCTCCTTAATACTTGTGTAAACACAAACGCTCAAACAAACGTTTTCTGCTGTCCAGCCCTGCTCAGCACGACGATACAAACAATTCTGCTTCAAACTCCATGTGCAAATCCACAACTCCGATGCAAATCAATAGCAGAACTAAGAAACAGGTTACACCCTGGGGACTCAGCAGCCTTCCAGACTCTGACACCAGCATTTAACAATTCAAAGATGTATTTACTTACTTTGGACGTGAGGATCAAGAGACAGAAGGTAAGAACTGCTGGCATCCTGATTATTGAGAACAGCAGCTTGTATGTATCAGTGATGCCTTTTGTTTCTTCTTTTGCTGGTATTAGCTCCTTGTTTTCCTTTTTCAAAAAGGCAACCAGTGTAGTGGTAACTAAGAAGACAGCTCCCCAGAAAAACAGGAAATCTGGAGGGGAAAATAAAATAAGATCAAAAAAAACTTT